CCCCCCCCATCCCCATTTACAGTCCAAAGTCTCCTCCTCCGGCGGCTGCCTCCCCCTCCTTGCAGAGGCCCAGCCCAGCAGCCCCCGTCCGTCCGTCTGTCCTGGACCCTGGGCCGGGAGGAGGGGGGGAGGGAGGACGGGAGGGGGGAGTTCCGGTCCAGGCCGTCACATGATGCCGTTGGTGAAGTACTGGAAGCCGTCGTAGAGCTTGGTGGTGAGCGAGCGCATGCTGCCGTCCACCAGCTGCTCCACCAGCACCTGCAGCTGCTCCTCCGTCATGTTCATGTGGAAGCGCTCCTTCAGGTTCCGGATGGTGCTGGAGCCGTGGAAGCAGGGCAGCTGGGAGCCTGGCGGGGGGGGGGGGGGGAGAGGGACAAGGAGAGGTCAGGGGGCCTCGGACAACTCGCCCCGGACGAGAGCGGCACCCTCCCGTGTCCAAGAGGACGGAGGGACAGGACGGCCAACGTTAAACGACTTTTAAAATCATTAAAGTTGTCCTGCTGGGACTCGGCCATGCTGCCCTGTTCTGATGGCCAGGAGGGCGCAGGGACCCCCGGGGACCCCAGACCCACCTGGCCCAGCTCCTCCTCCTGACTCCGCCAGCAGCGGGAAGATCCCTCGGACGGAGAGCAGAGCCAGAACTAAGATTCTGTGCCCGAATATCCCTTGGCTGCTCCCGCCCCCCTCCGGCCCCCCCCGTTCTCTCCCCACTGGCCGGTCCTCTCCGAAGGAGGTGCTGTAGGAACCCTCCCGGAGACGATTGGGTGGACGGAGCGCCTTCCCAGGTGTCGGGGTCACTCCGGAGGGCACGGAGATCGCTTCCCCTGCCCCTCCCCCCCCCAGTTCCCGACAGGCCGGCCTCTGGCAAAGAAGCCCAGGACCCCCCACCGTCCCCCGAGGCCCCCCGAGGCCCCCCGAGGCCCACCTTGCTGCATGATCTCCACGATCTGCACCACCTTGTCCATGTGTTTGCGAGCAGCAATCAGGCCCTGCAGCATCAGCATCTTGAAGTAGTTGAACATGTCTCCCCCGATGCCGCCCATCACCTGCGGGGGGGAGGGAGGGAGGGAGGGGCGCGTTGCAAGGCAGGAAGGGGAGGGCC